GGGTTAGCAATTATGGCTGCTCTCAGTCTTGCCCTCAGAGACTCTGCTTCTCAGTGTCCCATTAATCGCTGCAAGCCCCTCGGAGAGAAAGCTGCCCTCGGGTTCTGACCGATGCCAGACAGTCCCGCTTCTCCCGTATGAGTCTGGGTCCCTAGAGACTCGCCCAGAACTGGAGCTCAGAGCCTGAGACTCCCTCCCGATTGAAAACGACAACCGCGCCCTCAGCCGCCAGCCTGCTCCGCATGCACCTCCGCACCTTAGTATTTTACTTCCGCACTGCGCCTCCTCTGATTCTCGATATGCTTTTCTCTTTCCTTCTAGTTGTAGAATTTCCACTCAGCCAGCCTTCCTGTGGTTCTGGATGATGTCCATTCCGTCTTTTAGTTGGATTTTTGAAGTGGTTGTGCGAGGCAGCAATCTCCGGTGTTTACCTATGCCGCCATCTTGGTTTCTCTCTCTTTTTTATTCTTAATGGCAGAACTATAAGTCATATTTTTCTCAGTTCTCTTTTGCCAGTGACCTGCAGGATTACACCTCTAGTCAGAAAGAGAGGAGTAATTGATTCTAATAAGAATGAAGACAAACCAGCAGGGAATGTGAGGTACAATATCAGCATGTTCAAAAGGACTTTTAACAGGATTTTGACTTGTGTTAGATGATTTAATTGCTATTAAGGAAGCAAGACCTTTTTCTGTATGGAATGCTGTGAGGAGGTAAACTTTATTTGGTCATCAGTAATCATAGTCATTTTCTAGAAGGCAAAAACAGTGTAGTGGAGCTAAAGGTAATTTGTGAGGAGCCCCAGTCAGTGACATTAGTAAGCAGAGGGGAATATTGGTCATTGTTATGATTTGGAACTCTATCTTTATTTTTAGAGCTATGGTTACAAAATCCCCTTATGAAAACCTTGGTGCGTCATGGTCACTTTGATAAAGGGGTGTGGCATTTCTCTCTTCAGCAGGATAAGACTGGCCTTAACAAGGAAAGCAAGGCCAGCTCCCTCTGCACCAGGGTTTGCCTTTCCTAGTTATTAAATATAGATGTATTTTCTACAGTGAATTAGACACCATTTACCATAAAGTACCTCAGTTAAAATATATAAATTTACTTTCTGGTATACTGTGTAATATACTTAATATCACCTTTCTGACTCAACTGAGGTCTCTAAGTTTGAGTTAATTGTGAGTGAACACAAACCTAGCAAAGGGGAAAGGATATTTTGTTCAATTAAGCCTTTCTTGTTTAGAGACTATACTTCATTTTTGATTTATAAAAAAGTATGTTTTTATTGATTTTAAAGAGGAAGGGAGAGGGATAGAGAAATAGAAACATCGATGAGAGAGAAACATCAATTGGCTGCCTCTTGCAGGCCCCCTACTAGGATCGAGCCAGCCATCCAGGTATCTGCCCTGACTGGGAATCGAATCTCCTGCAGGCCCCCTACTGGGGATCGAGCCAGCAACCCAGGTATCTGCCCTGACTGGGAATCGAACCAGTGACTTCTTGTTTCATGGGTCGATGCTCAACCACTGAGGAACACTGTCCGGGCTGATTTTTTTTTTTTAAGAGATAAATGGTTCCTTTGGTAACAAGGAGTAAAAGAGGAATTCTTAATTCCTTTTCTCTCTTCTGGTGACTGAACTGCACAGTGAAATGGATAACAACATAAGAATTCCCTTGCGGTCCTTGATCTTTTGCAGAAGTGCAAAGATGTCTGAGTTGTGACTTGCAGTTATTTTCTAGACAGAGGTGCCAGCTGTTGTGCTTTCCAGTGTATCAGCAGTTGCTACATTTTCCTTCTTGACTTCAGGTTTCATGGCAGGAAACAGGAGTACTTCCTTGATGTTATTGGAATCTGTGAGACACATGGTAACTTGGTTGGTGCCCATGCCCCAGCCAGCTGTGCCCCGTATTCCAGGGCAGTGCAGAATTTTTCATCTTTGGACATGGCCTCATTATCACCAGCCTTGGCCTGTTCTTTGAAAAGCTGCCAGAGCCGCCTGGAGTCATTCAGCTCAGTGTAGGCATTGCATATTTCTTCCCTTCCTTTGTGGCAAGAAGCTCTAAGCTCTCAGTCAGAACCTCTTAAGAGCTGTGGCATTTTGCCAAAGGGCTCATTGTCTGCAGGTGATCACCGATGGACTAGGATCGATGCATGTCACTTTCAGAAACTCCCCAACCAGCAGATCAAGGAGCCTGGCTGTGGTCCGAGGTGGAGGGCATTCAACAGCTTTTGCCACACAGATATCAAGAATTTTGTGAGTTTCACGGAGCTCCAGTGGCACAATCGGTTAGCGCGGTACTTACAAGAATTTTGTGTTTCAAAGAGGTTTGTTTCTGGCAGCTTCACCCCCAGGGCTCCCGCAGACTCTTCTGCCATGCTGACTCTCCCAGAAGGAGAGACGGTACTCTTGATGCTAATCTTTAACCATCCCTCATTGCCATGCACTTGAGAGTCATTGTTCCCAACTTAGCAGAAATAATCAAGACC